AAAACCAAAATTTCATTGAAACCAATTCAAAGCAAACATACTGAGCTATAAAACATTGCTGTAGTTCAACAACGTACATGTCTACACCACTGAATTAAATATATCAATCGTATAATTCTACTGCACGTGTAAGCCACGTGTTACCACAAAATCTCTCGCAAAAAAATCGCGTCAGGTTACGGCAAAAGTTCCTTTGCGGTAACGAAGCGGTAATATGGGTTTTTTTACCACAATTCCGGAAAGCCAGGTCAGCACACCTCAGTATTTAGACAACATGACACAGGAAGAAGCATGCCATTATTAGAGATGTACGTTTGCAGAAGAAACAGCTCAATTTTTTTTCTTATTATTTTAACCTAATATGTAATTGATATAATCAGGTGTAGACATTCCTAAAAAGCTGGTTTGAGGACGAACTAGAATTCCAGTGCACGCAGCATGGCTTTTGATCGCGTCAAACCGTCCACTCGCATAAGTACAATGTAATTGCAATATTGACAAACCGTTAAATGACCTCGAACATCCAACGACAATCTACAACCGCTCAACTGCAGCTCGTAATCATTGCCACAGGCGTTTTCAGCTGAGCTCGGGATCAACTTTAATTTACGTAAAGTAAAGTTAATCCCGAGCTCAGCTGAAATTAACGAGAAAGGTCGTAAAAGTCTTGCTTTGCAAGCACTTTCTAAAAATTCCAACGAGAGAACGAAAACCTTCTTGATTCATACGATAAAGCCTGCAATACAGTAAAGATAAGAATATTGATCAACTGTGCAAAACCTCCAACTGCTCTTTCTCTCTTGATGTTGCTGTGTACTCCAGATCTAAGATATCAAACTTCGGTCAGTCGATATATTTTGTCAGAAGAAAATAAGTACTATACCCTACCCTTAGCCTTCGCATAATTTACAAATGCACTTATACATGGACGCTAATATAGCGGGGAGGGTGAGGCAGAAGTATTGCATGGACTATATTATACGTACGTACGTACTGAAGTGATCTATAAACATTACACAAGTAAATGGGCTTATCTACGGGTCAGCGTATAAGCGGTAGGGTTTTTCTGTGAAAGTGAGTTGAGTTTCACGATTGGGGTGACCTAACTGGACATACTCAGGATAGGGCTTGTACATGGGAGGGGTAGTTCACCCTACGCAAGTGTAAGAGGATGCCTCAAGACACCACACTGCACTTACTGAGATCATTCAATTCTTCTTTGTTCTGAATTTTTCTTTCCTCAAGTTTGAGACGATGCTTCTCGAGATCAGTGATGTAGGTCTCGAATTTAGTCCTAAGAATCGACAACATCCCAGTACATGTTTCCACAAATTAATACAACGTAGATGGTGGAAGCAAGATCACGGTAAATCTTCTCTTACTTGTCGAGCTCTAGTGTTCTCTTTGTTCCACTAATGCTTCAAGCTTTGACTAGGTTAAGTATGAATATGTTAAGACTGTTAGCTACACATCTATCAACTGTGAAAAGATGGAGATAAAGGGAGGTAAAAAGGGGAGGGTAATTTCAAAGATAATATGAAATACAAAAGTATGTATTTATAAAAGTGGAAGCGACCCACCCACCCCACCCCTACCAAAAGGATGAATGACAAATTTCAAACACGTAGCTCACTTTAACAAGATGCACCTTTAAAGGGATGAACGTGTATGGGAACATTTGTGGAAAATCCTTTAAATTAATTTTGCACAAATGAAGCTCCGTGCAAGAAAAATCACAGTACGAGTTTTGGCCAAATAATCTGAATGAAAATCGGAAAACCGAGCCATTCCTAGGATCGAGCCAAATTATGTCATAAATTATGTCACAGTAATTTTTCACAGTGATGGAGCTTCACCAGTGGCCAAAGTTTTGGCTCTGAACAATTTATATGAGCGATTTTCCAAAATGTTCACACATGTACGTAAAAGTACCCAACCGTTTGCGATTATTTTGCTCACACTCACATTTAGAAATAAGCAATTTGAAGTTCTCAAAATTTCACGACACAATATCTTTCCTACCGGTTCACTTTCAAGTCTCGCCAGTTCTTCCTCCAGTAGCTTGTTTTCGTGACTCAGCTCTTCGTTTTCTGGAATATGAAAATCATAAAATTGTACATTACAAAGTGACGATGCACATAATTTTTCAACAATACACATTTACCAGCAATAAGTGGAGCATTCTTGTTTCCTACATTAATAGAAACAGATACATGCATAAATCTTGTAGGTCACTACCAAAGGTTACAGGAATTGATGCAATGACAACTTCACTCACTCAGTTCTTCATATAGTGCTTCTGTGTACTCATCCAGATTATCTAAGTCTTGACCGTAAATAAACGCTTCGTACGCTTTCTCAAGGTAATCAAAATACAACTGCGGTAACAAGACAAAGGTGTACATAGTGAGACATTAACAGTGGCAGAAACATCTGCTGAATACAGAGATGGATCTGGAATGATTTAGTAGTGGTTGCTTTGGTTTAGATTAGATTTTCTGAAGATACTTTGCAGGTTTTGCCCTATCATGTCAGACATTTACATTTCGCTTAATTGTTTGGTATATTAATACAATTCATTGGAAAATCAAGCATAAACATCCCATATATCTATGACTGTCACAGCCATATTAAACTAGGTACATTTGAAACACATGTTATCACATGTTATGGCATTCAGACTGCAAAGACATTTTGATAGAGATAAGAACTTACCTTGTCCTCATCATTCATGGGAAACAGACATTCGTCGATGGTGTCATTAACATTTTGAGCCAACTGAAAAAAAAAGAAGAAAAGGAAATCACGCTTTAAAATGTTTGGGCAAACTCATCAATCTTCAATTTCAGTTTGTACAAAATTCAACCTTGACAAGTTCCATAAGCCAGTGAAGTGCACCAAGGAGCACTGGCCATGTGTGAGGTGAGCCAACATTGGATAATGATGTTTTATGAATGGTGAAGGGGTAACCAAGACTCTTGAAGATTTTCGGTACTTCCTCTGGTTTTCTTTTAGTTTTTATGTGTCCGTTGGACTGATATGGCTATAAAGGAACTGTAAAATACAACTGCAAAGTAAATTGCAAAGTTCATAGAGATTTCAGGCTCGGTAGGTCACAAACATTGTGTGAATTATGTTATACATTGATTACTAGAATGCAAATTGGAATATTTGTCATATGATAGCAATATGATGTTTTATATCAATGCTGCATCATATTAATGCTGTATTTGTTTCGATTGGATGCCCAGAAGCTGCATATAAATACTAGTATCAATTTGATTGTGAGACAGGATGTATGTTTTTCCAGAAAAAATTTGAATATATTTTCTCAACTAATACACACACTGGTCACCAACGTGAAATGATTCAACAGAGATCAACATACTAACGGAAAATACTTTCAGGAACTCTTTGCTCGTTGGAATCGTCATTTTCTTCATGGAGATTGGATGCTGGTAATCGTTGACCGAAAGAAACTGAACAGACAAAACAATTCAAAAACTACTTTTACCATAATGCCGACATTTTAGCAAATACCTGCAATATGTCTTGTATTTCTTGATGCTGATAAGCTGAAAGATAAATGGCAATACAAGTAACTTAACTGATGAAAATTGCTGTTTGTTAAATTGAAGATAAAGCATAATCTCACATTTATCACTAAGCGGTCTGAGTCTTTTATCTGCATGTACGATTCACGTCCATATTGACTTGATTTTCTGCTAAAATTCAAATGAAAAGCACACATAACTCCCACAGTATTCACAAGTAGAAGTTCCTGTAGCACCAAGAGATAGTAAGCCAACAAAACAAATAGTTATGTTAACAACGTACTATACTGCTAATATACGTTATGGTACAAACATTTTAAATCCCATAAAGGAAACCTGCTAGCTCAAAAGATGTTTTCGGACGCGATATGCCTGACAACCTTGCACCAGTATTAGAAAGACGATCGCCCTGACTAATCGTGGGTTTGGTTTTGTAAGTGTCGCCGTATAAAGTCGCTCATTGTGGATTCATTTATTATTCATTTAGATAGCCATGAAGATTAAGAAATAAATGGCTATCTTAATCTTCATGGCTATCTTAATCTTCATGGCTATCTTCTACAATCCTGTCGATTTCTTCATTGGAAAGAACGCAGGAAACCTCGGGAATAGCACTCCTCATTTTCACAGACCATTCCTTCGTGTTCTTTTGAACTTCTTTAACACGATTCTATGCGAGGAAAGCAAGCTCTTTTACGATTTGGCATTTCAATAAAACCACGAGTTTTTTAATTCATTACAACACAACAAAATACAACGCATGCGTCGATTGGTTTGCTTAAGTTTCATTAGGAGCTTTAGCAAAGAGTACGAATTACGTCATTTTGGCGCGAAAACATTGTGACATCAACAACTCGTAGCCGTCATCAATCTGAGTACGATATCTATGATGTCTTTTAAAGAAACGAAAGTAGGTATATTTATTTATTGTGCAAGAACTTAGTTTACAATACTTTTTTTGACCTTCCAAGCTTTATTTCAGTATCTTTTTATGAACGCAGGTTTACAATAAAAACGAAAATACGACCTGCAAAACTTCCATGTATCTGGGACGCAAAGTGAATTATAAAAAGACAATAAAGTAATGCAAATATACAATCTATAAAAGGTAGAATAATGAAGATTTTTCTCTAAACAGTCCTATACCCACGCTAAATCAGTATTACGAATTCATCGATATTATTATTAACAAATAGAGCCGTAGCTGCTTCTCAAAATGCGGTGTTTTTCACAGGAAAAAGCTCGTTCTGTTGTTTACGGCTAAAACAACCATTTGACGACGCGACACGACACGTTGTTCCTTACACGGTCAAACTTCGTACACGTAGTCGTACTCTTGCTAAAGCTCGCTATTAAGTTGAAGATTTTAAGTTTCAGTTGAGCAGATTAAGTTTTCATTAGTCTGTGCAAACCAATCTGTGATCAATCAATTAAATCAATTAAAGAGAATGTTGCAAATCGATCATGAATACATTAATGAGGGGGGGGTGTGGGGTTAAGACATTTCCTTGAAATTTTGTTTGGCATTATTGTTATTTTTTATAAAGAAAAGAATTTTTTCCGTGTTTACACAGGTTTATGCAAACCACAGAGACGTTTGTAAAACTCTCGAGCAGGTTCAAACACGGCAAATATCTTTTATGATAAATAGAGGTGAAAAACATTACCTCTATTATAGTCTTGTGTTTCAGAACACGCTCCATTACGTAAAAAAATGATTTTAAAGATCTTCTTCACGCTTCAAAATCTATACATATAGTAACTTTACTTTCAATGTTTATTTTAATTTCTATGACGATTATTTGAAGTAAAATTCATGATGAAATCCCGCAACAGTCAAAATGAAACATGCTCATATTACTTTTTCTTTGGCATCCTCGAGTTTCTTTCGTTTTCCCATTTCAGTTTGATTATCCAATCTCAATCGATCTATCAGATTACGCTGATCTTCAATTCCGTCGGACAAAATTTTAATTCTTCGTCGTATTGCTGAGAAGAATCAATGATCAACATTCACGTAGAGATAAAGTTTAGAAAGTTTCGATGCACGATAAACGAGAAGTAGCCAGATTTATCAAGACGATCAAGGAGTTAGTTTTGTTGTTAATTGAAAGTAAATGAAAATTTAGTTTGCTCAACTACGATATATACGAAAACTGTAGACAAAGGAACGCCAAAACTGTTTCAAAAATGAGCGCCACATTCCATCGGAATGACGCTGCCAATAATATTAACATCATTATAATGTCGGTACTGTACAGTTTTCGTATATATTTGTTTAGATTTTAAGGTTTTCAAAACTATAGGGCTGTACACAAAACCACAAAAATTTTCTCTAATGCTAATTTAACAACAAAACTAACTCCTTTGATCGTCTCGATAGTTTTCTGCCAAAATATTAAGAGCTTCTAGACTTGTTCACTGAATAAATTTTTTGTCGTAATGTTGTTAAAACAGAATATGGGCAAACAAAGTTCTTACTGAAGTACAGAATTGTAAATCAGAAAATCACTTGTGTCGGAACCATTGATATTTTTATCTAAACATATTGTGCTGAGCATATCGATTGAGCATTATCCAGCAAGAGTTTTGTTTTTCATAACATTCCAAAACTAACAATGAACCACGTCATTTCAAGATATTGAAATATTTTTAATTTTTTCGAAGTAAGACGTCGCAATTGTTGTTTTGGAAACAATCAAAACCCCAAAGATATCTTGTTGGAATAATGGCGGCATGAACGCAGTAACTTGAGCCCTTCTATGATTATTATTCTGTGGCTGAGGGCTGAGGTGGTCGCAAAGTCATATTGCATCTCAAAATCTGTAAGAACAATTGATTATCACTGGAAGTTAATACAAAAAACATGAGTAATGAACCTCCCTATTTATCGAGCAATTTGGTACCTCTTTCTTTAGACACGTAAAAAATTTCAATAACCTCTCAAGACTTTATAAATAAACGATTTTGAATTCCCAAAGTTCGTTATGTGTTGTATGCAGGCTTGTAAGATCCTCTTTCACCTGATTGGTCAAACTGATTCTCTAAATCACCTACAATGATTTAGTAAATCTCTTTTACCTGATTGGTCAAACTGATTCTCTAAATCACCTACAATGTTGTAGTAAATCCTCTTTACTTGTTGGTCAAACTGATTCTCTAAATCACCTACAATGATTTAGTAAATCCTCTTTTACCTGATTGGTCAAACTGATTCTCTAAATCACCTACAATGTTTTAGTAAATCCTCTTTCACCTGATTGGTCAAACTGATTCTCTAAATCACCTACAATGTTGTAGTAAATCCTCTTTTACCTGGTTGGTCAAACTGATTCTCTAAATCACCTACAATGGTGTAGTAAATCCTCTTTCACCTGGTTGGTCAAACTGATTCTCTAAATCACCTACAATGATGTAGTAAATCCTCTTTCACCTGATTGGTCAAACTGATTCACAAAATCGCCGGGATTGATGTAAAAATAGACAAATTGCAATTTTTACGAATTTTACTTTCCTTCGCGAAATACCAAAAGAAATCATAGAACTGAGCTATGTGATCACCGGAGTGCTATCGTGGTGATTACACTATTATATACACAATTGGAGTCGGACTATTTACTTAAAAAAGCCATTTAAATACCATATGTAGCTACAACCGTGTTTTTCCAGAGAGTGATTGTCAACCATGATCCAATCAAATGCGCTCTTTGAGAGTTTTGCATCTTGGTTTTGACGTTTATTTAACAAGAGCTGAACTTTCATACAATTTCATGTCTTGACATTGTTATAAGTAGCAACGATACACTGTAGTCAGAGTTGTTTACTTTCAATAATCGTACATGTCTCATTATAATTATTGACTTAGTTTTTCATTATTTCAGTGTCTCAACACTCCTCGACGAACCGGTAAACGAAAACACGACGGAATGTTTCCACATCTTACATCTAACCAACTGTTTTTGTTTTGCGAAGTGCTGGAGAACTCGTATAAGTTTGCTAAAGGCTTCAATTTTAACAGCAAGCTGAGGACGGCGCTTTGGAAAGCTGGTAAACGCTTCATTAATATATTGTACCATTTGACACGAGCGACACATTTTTGTACAATTTCTATTCGAATTGGAAATTAATACACGAGTAAAAACATCACATTCAAAACGTTCAAGCAAAAAGGCAAATTTGTGGCTGTCCTTCCTATTAGGGCACTCACTCCAAAAGCTGTACATGTCCGTATACCTAGACACCCACATGCAGCGTGACCAAGTTTGTTTACCAGATTTGGTCGTATAAGCTTAAATTGTCCTCCCCTTTTCTGAATGTTGCATCTACATAAAACAGGAGGAAAATTCTAAGGTCATTAGACTAAGTCTTGTGAAAGTAAGAAACATTTGCTTTTATGGTTTTTTTTCTAATAAATAAAGATAAAAAGAGGCAAATTCAAAAGAGGAGAATGAAAAAACTTGATCCAGGTTTTATAGGACAGGGAGTAAAGATGCCTCAGATTTTGCTGGACTTCCATCAAAACTTGAATCAGAATCCTCGGTGTCATAGGCTTGATGAGGACACTTTGATGTTGTCCATGTTTCTTCTCCTTTACGTTTAAGCGGGGTCCTCGATTGCTCGTACTCTGATAGCGTAATAAAAACCAAAGGATAATCCGTTCCCCTTTTATTTGGGGTTCTTCTTATCAAGGCAAAATAATTTGAGCAAATGAAAGTACCTTGTGCACCAGGCTTCGGGTTAAAGTCATCCGCTCTGCTGTTTGCAATTGTTTTCACCAAATTTCAGCAAGTGCTTGATCTTTGGGCCACTTATGAAAACTAAATTTTCTACGTGAGACCTCTTAACTTGGTAATAGGGATAGCTTATATCATTATCGCAATATCCAACTGCACAACGCGCATTTTTTACCATTTTGGCTATGACTGCTCACGGCTACTCGGCTAGTTTAGGGTTTAGTTCGTTTGACTTGGCTTATGAGATCCGCACATTTGCGAACCCAAGAACATCGCTCAAACGACGGTCAAGTTGTTCAAAAAAAAACAAATGTTTTCTTTAACTTTCCGCTTTTTGATTACCACAAAATTGGACTCACGTGTATAAAAAATTGCAAATAATAGTTTGACTATTAAAATGGATGAGTTTGAGAAATATTTGAAAGAAATGGCCAATATGTATATTGTATAAGGGTAATTTTTGCGCATTTATTAGTAATTTATATGGACGCCATGCGTGACCGCGCGCTCGGCGCAATGTTTTTGCACCCCCTGCAACATGGCTGCGATAACCTTGAAAAGGTCTATTATGAAGGATCACGGTGGTCTATTTTTACAATTTGAAGATAAATAAAAAAATCATGTTTCAACTAGGATTTTGTGATTAAATCTTTCAATTTTTTGTTCTCAATGTAAGAGGCCAAGTGCTGCAAGTAAATAGTTGGCTCACTCGTTATTTTTTTTAAATGGATACTAAAATATTTCAGTTTCTAAAGAAAAATTACAACATAATAATCTATTTTAAAAGCGTTCATTGAATTTCTAAAAGAAAAATCTCGCTAAGTAATTGCATGAAGCATAAAACTTGTGCGATCAACAAAAAGCAAGAGACACCAAGTAACAGGAGTCAAATTGAAAAGAAAAATTTTAAACTGCGACGTTATTTGAAACTGAATCAAAGGTTTTACCAAAATCAAAGGAGACCACTCGAACAAAATCTGTATTCTCGTTCAACCATTTTAACCAAAGTTACCGACGTTTGTAACCCATGCAACTTAACTAACATATATTACTGAAAGTACTTAACAAAAAAACGGAAAATGCCAAATGAGAAATTAATTTAACCTAGTGCAGAGAAGCCTAACCTCATCAAAGGAGCCTTTGTTAAAAGATATTATATCTTTCTTAAATGAAGTTAGTACGATTAAGTACGATTACTCAATGTTTCCTGTTTCTAGTTTGTTATTTGCATTTTTATTTGATGGAGAAACTTTTCCTTTTTGTTTCAATGTAATAAACCATATTTAATCATTAGTACTTTGCTTGAAGTTTTCTCTTGTGCCAAAGAAGACAAGTACCTCTAAAGTTTGAACGCTTCTACCAAGGTATTTATAAAACAACTAATATTTGAAATACCATCGATCAATTTTCTCTAAAGCGATTGTCTCTCAAGTTTAGTCACGCTATGAAAATTTCAGAACTTTATGATCATTTATTTCTTTGGAAACCTATTGTTTTCATTGAGAGTCTTTCACTGATCATCAGAAAGTTTAATAAAATCAATTGTGTTTTTTTAATGTACACCGTGAATGTTTATCGACATCAAAACAATGTTCTAAAGCTATTCATCCGACATCACTATTTACTTAATAAAACTTAAACAGAGAAAAAACAACTTAAACTGTGTTTGCATTAGCCTGTACAAACGTGCGTATCTGAGCTACATGAATTATATCAATCAAAGATAATTTGCAAATGAATCATGAATACATGTTAGAGAAAAATTTTAAACTTTCTTGAAGTTGTCTGTTTCGCATTACTATTATTTACAAAAGAACTAAAAGATGTTTTTTGTGTTTGTACTCGCTTATGTAAACCTTGAGACGTAAGTGAGAACTCTCTAGCTGGTGCAAACTGTCAACTTTCGGTGTAAAGCTTGCACTAACATTGTCTCCAGTTCTACCAAATATCACTTCCGTTTGCTTAACCCTGTACAACAATTAAGCATCTTTTATTTCCAAATCCCATCCTATATTCAGTCTTTACAATCCTCTTGTTTAAATTTTTCGTGGGTGTGCAAGAGGTGAGGTGTGACCTTTCCCTTACTAATTATCAATATACCAACAATTAAATTTTTTATTTTATCTTCCTGTCATCCATTAATATCCATTCATATTATCCATTAATGTCCATTCGTGTCCTTTATTGCAGAAGCACAGACTGTCGTTGATATATATTTAAATTACGACTGTGAATTCGCTTTGTCGAATATCTTTCAAAGATTGATCAATGATTGGTCTAAAGTTGCCCAAGGATGTCAAGCTCTATTGAATTAGAGCGACACCAGTAAGTTGATGAATATGTTTCAAACTGTTTAGTTCTCTACATTTTCTTGTTCATATCTATGCCACTCGAAAAGGACTGGAACGTAGTCTATTATGAAAAAAACTGGGACATAGTCTATCAACATGAAAAGGAGTAGAACATGTCTCTAATTTTTTGTGCTGACAATGTTGATTATAATACATCTTTTATCACGTTTTTATATGAATAGTATCAATGTCATCTTGTTTTTATATGATTTTCCAGGTTCAAGAACGCAGTATTTGTATCAAAGGTCTGGAATGTCTCGTTTCTATTCTTAAATGTATGGTAGAATGGAGCAGGGATCTTTACTTTAAACCTGGTTCTCAGGAGGCCGATAATTTTGGTGAGTTTTAACATCTTTATGAAACTGAAGAAACTCGCATGTAGCGAATATAAACTTAATATTGTTATACATTTCGATAACTTATCGCTTTATGATCCATTGTACTTCTCTTTGATATCGGCTACACTGAAGAATTTTGTCTCCATCAAGATTCCATCTTTCTATACTCTGTATCCCTATTTATCGAAGGTACTCCATTATTTTCTTATACACACGTTAATGTTCTTAATCATAACTAGTTGTTCGACAATTGTAGTTAACCTCTCAGGATCTAAGTTATCCCTTGGTTATCTTTTTCCCTTGCTGGTGTCGCTGTGGATCAAGGCTAAATCTTAATGTTTATAGTTACTGATTATTGACTCATGCTACCCTCAATGTTCTAGTCTATCTCTCAATAATCTATACTATCTTCCCGATAATCTAGGCTATCTGTTAATGATCTATGCTAACCTCTTAATGATCCATGCAATCCTTATTGATCTTCAAATCATCATAGTTATTCCTCAATACTTCTGTTTAATCTCTTCCATATAAATTTCCTGACAGATCTGGTTGATCGTGCACGAACAATTTCGAAAAGGAAGCACCAAGGAGAAGAAAACAGGGGGAGCACGGTGATTTATAATCTCAAAAAATGGGGGGTAGTCACTTGTCTCTCAGAAGTACAAAAGCCATCGATAATGCTGAAGAATTTGAGACTCTTAAACAGAAGAGGAGACGAGAGAAAAGGGAATTTAATTGTAAGTTTGGTCAACAATTTGCTTATCTTTGTACTTTTATTCAATTTTACTATTTACTTTAAGATTTAACAAGAATCCATCAAAAGGTATGGAATTGCTTCAATCTGAAGGTCTCCTTCGTGAGACAGCAACCAAAGTCGCTCAATTCTTACATGCAGATGATACACTAGACAAGGTGATGATCATTTAAGTGTTAATCTATGAACCATGTGTTAATTTTTTTTTTCATTTAACATCAACAATAATTTAGGACAGGTTTTTGACGATTTTCGGTTGACAATGTTGATTATAATACATCTTTTACAGATTTGCAAAGTGAGAAACATCGTCGTATGTTGTATTCTATGGAAATGGAGCAGATGGCGGAAAACGCCAAAAAACAAATGGAAGACGTGAGTCATATTCAGACGGATTTCGTCACTGCGACACAGATTGGTCACGTGAAGACAATGTTCAAGGTACGGGGGGTGGAGTCTGGAGGATAATCTATGTGGTGTATGTAAGGATTGATTAACGAAGCGTGAATTGTGATGTCAACTTATATGGACAGTGCCAAGTACGGGGGGCGTAGATTTCAAAACATGATGACATTCATCTTAATCTTGTTAAAGAAAAGACTTAGATTTTATGTAATGAATGTTTGCGATGACGAAGAGTAAATCTGTTTGATAATCTAATATATTAACTGAGCAGTGAATGATTTGACTGAATTTTCTATTGAGATAATCCACTACTTAAGTTAAATCTGCTTCTTACAACCTGCCCAGTCCCCATTGTTAACCATTTTGTTTTGTGTGTTTAAGGTTGCATGGAGTCCGTTTCTTGCCGCGTTCAGCTTCAATCTACAAGACAACGACGATTCTTCTGTTGCTTTATTTTGTCTTGATGGAATCCGCTGTGCAATAAGAATATCTTGCATATTCAGCATGCCTGTAAGTTGATAAACATACAAAAATGTGTTCTTTTTTATATATTTGGGTATGAAATAACGACATTAATGTCTCTGCATACCTTTTCATCACCTGGTGACCCTTTCCCGGACATAAATATGTATTCAAAAATATGTTGAATGTTGAATTGTTGAAATTTATGAATATATTTACGTAGTTACATACACGTCATGTTCTTTGCGTGTTATATGTTCAAGGTTTAGATTATACTCATATGTATACAATAAAAACAGATGTTTGTTTACCTTTGAATTAATTGTCTGTTTGTGTACATATATGGATATATCAGAATGCATGTGAATGTGAAATAATCTTTTCTTAAAAGTTTTTCAATGATTACAGCTAGTTATAATGATGTTAGGTAATATGAATGGAGATTCTTTACCATTAAGTTCATTTTTCGATACTCCTAATAACTCTTTTCACATTGTAGTTGGAAAGAAATGCTTTCGTACAAGCTCTATCCAGGTTCACTTTACTTACTGCGACCAGTGGCACGCATATTCATGAAATGAAAACGAAGAACATGGAGACGATCAAGACACTTCTTACCATCGCTCAAACGGATGGTAATTACATCGGGAAGTCTTGGCTCGAGGTAGAGAGAATCATCTTGCTATATATTATGGTTGGTGTCTACGACTGAAAATATGATCGATTGTTTTTTCATCAAAGGAAAAGTCTAGGTCTTGTCTGTAGTCTTATCTTCACGATATTGCTACAGTCTTTACCTTTCATTTTTCCAAGTGCTTTGTTGACCGTATTTCATACCCTTCATCAGAGAATCGTATCACAAATGTACTTCTGTAATAAATATACATAAGAAAATGAAGTTTTTTCTCAAGATATTTTTTATTTGAAGATATTTTCTACGTATGTATTTAACGTTTATGTTCGTCTTGTTGAACACTCGTTTTCGTTGCTCAAATGCTCGTTCCGCTCGGCGCATATTTTACGTTTCCTAAAGTCATTGTTTTGAAATGCATTTCCCAACTTGAATTGGCTCAACTTATCGGTACTGGTGAAAACGCGATACCTTCACACGGCGTCCAGCGGTGTTACTAATTCACCCACAGCATTCATCGCAAACAACAAGACATCTTATGATATAACCTCATAACTCAACATACCACATAAGTATGACAAGTTGGTCATAGTATGTTAAGTCTCAAAAATTTGTAATGCATGTCCTTGTTTTTGTGGGCAACGCCCTTTTGCAGGGCAAATTTTCTCCACACCCCCATTACCTCAAGTCTAGTTACGCCCCTGATCACTGGGTTTGTGCTTTTGCATTTAAAAAATTATCTTTTGTGGCGTTTCAGGCAATTGCCATTTGTCGGGCATAGATGTTTCTGTCTGCAGTTACATTTCTTTGGTGGGTTGTTCTTGTTCTGGGTTGTGTCTGGGTTAAGTCTTTTTAAAATAGTCTTGTTGTGTCTGGTTATGAAAGTTTTCATGTTTTCGCCGCAGCTGTAGCTTACGCGTATTGTGTGTCGGTTGAATATCTTGGAGAGTATAGTATTTGGTGGGAAATGTTTGTCGATAAGTTGTAGGAAGTCATGGGCGATGTGAGTTTTACGTTTTGCTGTATGGTGGGTTAAACCAAGTGACGTTACGTTTCTGTTGTACGTGGTGTTTACATTGATGTTTGATGGATTAAAGGTGAGTTGGGTGGTGAAGTTGCTTTGTTTAAGAGCTTGGTTGTAAATTGGTGCGGCATTTTCGAAGGTGTCTTTGTCAGATGAGAGTGTGTTAATTCGGTTGTTGATGGATGTGGGTAATTGGCGTAATACTGATGGTGGGTGGTTGGAAGATCTGTGAATGAAGAGGGGCTCGTCGTTGGGTTTTCTATAAGGTTTGTAGGTGTCGTTGCTAAGGTCAAATGTTACGTCAAGGAAGTTTGTGCGTTCATGGTTTGTCATCGCTGTGATTTTTAGTCCAAGCTCGTCAAATAGGTGTGAGAGGGTTTTTCTTTCTTTGTCGCAGAGTCTTCCAGATTTCGTATTTATGACTGCAAGGCCATCGTCACGGTATAAGCCGACGTTGCTTCCGTACCGCTGCTGTAGTTGGTAGAGTAAGAATAGCCCTACAAGCTCGCAAACTTCCGCTCCATCATAGCTGCCCATGGTTACATCAAACGTGTTGGTAGCGTTGCGTTTGGACCATGATTTGTTTTGGTGGAAAAGAAGTAGATCGTCCAGGTTACTAGAGGTCTGAATGCTTTGATCGCTTTTCACTGTAATAAAGTAAATGGTTTGAACCCGGGAGTATCGTTACATGTTTGTAAATGTAGATCGTCCAGGTTACTAGAGGTCTGAATGCTTTGATCGCTTTTCACTGTAATAAAGTAAATGGTTTGAACCCGGGAGTATCGTTACATGTTTGTAAATGTAGATTGTCCAGGTTGGTATAGTCCTGAGAAGGACTGTTTTTGTTGTTGTTGACTGACGTTTCGACAACCTTAGCGGTAGTTATTTCTTACACTGTGAAGATGACTACCGCTAAGGCTGTCAAAACGTCAGTCAACATCAACAACAACAGTCCTTCACAGGACTCTACTAACCTGGACGATCTACATCCACAAACATTTAACGATACCCCCGGGTTCTAACCATTTAATTTATTAGCTTGTGAGCTGTAGATCGATGTTACATCTGAATAAAGACGAAAGTTCAACTGCAATATTACAAGTATATTACATACTACGACAGCAACTTCTCATTACTTTAGTCGTCCAAGTCAAATAGTGGTGAAAAAGGTTTTCAAATCACTGTCAATGAAAAATGACGAGGTTGCAAAAGTGGCAAGAGCCCAAGATTGTGTTACCTAATGACCTAGAACCCAATCCACTAGATATCTGACTCCGCCGAAATTGTATAGTAATGAGTGAAAGTGAGGCAAGCCGCCATCTTGAGAGGTGGCAAAACTGACGATATTTACGACTAAAATCTGCTTTTCCTGTGTTGATATACAGTTGCAACGTTAATAGTCTAGGTTTCATTCTTAAAATGTTTGATAGGATGAGTTTTTTAAACTTTCTTTTAACTTATTTTTCATTTTGAGTTTTGCTTTTGCCGCCTTTCAAGATGGCGTCCTTGCCTCAAAGGAAAAATACATGGAACGCTACCTGAAGCAAATAATTTAAGCCAAATCTTACACCCAGACACGCGTGTAGTATTTCGAGATTCTGAAAATTAATAGACTACACACGCGTGTGGGTGTAAAATTTGGCTTCAAAAATTATGACACTTTTCTATTACAGGTAGCGTTTCATGTATTTTAGTTCAATGGCCTCACCTCACCTTGACACGTTATTTAGACATCCAGAAGATTGGGTTCTAAATCATTGACATTACCTAAGAACTCCTTTCCATCCTTTGGTAAATGAAGACACTTCAACTTTCTCGTATGATTGAAGTACACCGACAAAGCGTTGGATAAATCCTGCAACAATTCTCTATCGTCGTCTTTAACATTCTTGATGTTTCCACAAACCGTCTTAATGGGCCACGGAGGTTTCGTGGAAGTCGGGTGAGGATAGTTCTCCATGGCGAGGAAAAGATAGGATAGCGCCAACTTGTCGCGAAGTTGATAGATTTCTTTTGATTCATTCAACGTTTCGCATAGGGAAAACGTTTTCGAAATAAATTTCAAGCCTTCTTCATTTCGACTGAGTCTGTCAAGAATATCCCAAGAACGACGTATAACTTCCACACATTCGTGGCCTCCCTCTTTTTCAAAGGCCTTAGTCACCAAAAAGTACTGTGTCCCACAGTCTGCAGAGTACTGGAAGATTGGGGCCGAGGATGCAACTGCACCTGCAACTACACTTGGATATTTCATCCTCATCCAGGCAGCATACTGACCTCCTAATGATGCGCCGAAAGCAATAACTGGACTATAGCGAGCACCGCTCACATTTGACTTGATATTGTCTATGAGCTTGGAGTAGTCGGCAAGAACCTGCGATGAGGTCAAATATCCGGTGTATTGAGAACCCGAGAGGGAGTTTACTCCGTATGGCATACTACTCCCTTGATAGCGTTGCTCGGCGAATACTAGCATTGCGTTAAACTCGGGCGCAGTCTCCCACAGGAAACCCATTGTTTTTGCGAAGTGTTCAATATTTGCCTCGTTTCCACAGTAAAAGAATATGACGTTCCCCGGCTTCCAGTGAGACGTACTGATAAGATAGCGTTGTTTGAATGTGGCATTGCTTAAGAATGTGAAATGATCCACGTTTTGGTCGAACCATTTCGTTTCGTAGACGCACGAAGGACAGTTGAATATTCCACGTTTTAGTGTGTCACTAGATGTCATATCTGAATGAAAATAAGCGGGAAAAACAGGCCAGTGAAACGCTCTCACCATATGAAGGATCGACTGCAACAGTACATATATGTTTCCAAAAGAGTACCTTCTCATGTTAGACAGTTTAGTTCAAGTTAGTGATAACTGTTTTTAAGGGAAGTTTTTCTGTTCGAGAAAACATGACCTCAAACAACGGGTACCAGTCGGTCTGTCCTTAAAGTGCATATAAACCTTACGTGGTTTTTACACTATCCAATGAATGTGGTTTAAAAAGCCATGTTCCAAAATTTTAATGTAATATTTACCAATCGTACTGTCCGTCAAAGTTGCAAAAATAGACCATTTTAAGCGCTCAGCTTTACCGCTAAAGGACTGGGCCTGTGCGGTTGGGTGACGTCATGTAAGTAACACGGGTCTGAACATTATAGTAATTTAACAGGCTATTTTCTTTACTATTGTCACATCATGCCAAATGCCGATGTATTCGTAAGGCGATATACCAAGTTGCAAGGACAGACACCGGTAAAACACTGTCCTCCATCTCTATATCATAATTCGCATTTTCTGATGAATCTGAAGATGATGTTTCCGACCAAGATGAGGACATTTTGAAAAAAAAACGACGCAATAATCGAAATATCGGCAACAACATTGATTATTTTAAAAGCAAATAATTTGTTTTGAATAAAGCCCACGCGACTGTATTCCTTACATGACGTCACAACATGTACTGGATACCAGACCCCATTGGGAAATAAATGTAGGGAAATCTGGACTTTTAAACCGTAATTGCGAAGAAAGCTTTGATCTCAATTCATTTGTTTTTAAATTTACAGTTTTAAAGAACTGTAAACTCTTTCAAACTATACTAAAATCCTGCAAGGTTAATGCGCACTTTAAAATTTTACTCAACTCAGACGAATGGAAGCTTCCAGCATTGTCAGTGTCAGGTAGTGAAATACTTTATCCAGGCCTGGCACATTAGCTAAAAGCCCCATTGAAAGAAAATCTATTTAAGTATATAAAAAACGAGACGCCTTCTTATCGCATTAGTGTAGAAGTCTAATAAAGTCACACTGGCAGTCGAAAAAAAAACCCCGCTCAATTGTCATTGCTATATGCGTTGAAATGGTGGCGCATTCGTCAGTTGAAATTCAATATTGCTTTGAAGGTGTTTAAAATGTCGCACTAAAAGCTGAAATATATTTTACGTATACGACAAACTCTCATGTGAGATGGTATTTTTGAATGCTGGTGTACAACTCCACGATCACACCGAATAAATGATTTGCAAGAGCTTTGTTTTATATTTGAATGAACTTCAACTCAAAGATGAAGATACTGTTCCTAAATATAAGTTCATCGAGTTTTTTCAACTCTACTTCAATCTCTTATACAATACACATAACGGAGGAAAATATTTTCAGCTATAAACAAAATCACGCTAACTTTTATCGTTTGTATTTACTTAACTTCTAGCATTACTTCATTTGGCGTCGGATCATCACATCCAAACACTTCATTGGCATTATTCGTATCTTCAGAATCTGAAAAAGCGTTCAGCACAGCATGTGCGCCATTTCTAAGCCCTTCGTGATAATTGTTCAGCTGAAAAACAAAACAAAAACCTTCCACAAAATCAATGTTCAATAAGTCATTTAAGATACAATCAATGTTTACTGTTTGCTTACTGTTTGTTTACTGTTTGCATGTTTACTGTTTGTCTACTGTTTGTTTACTGTTTACTGTTTGTTTACTGTTTACATGTTTACTGTTTTTCAGGCTTACGCAAACATAGGTGACTTTTGGGAAAACTCGAGAGCAGATCGGTACAGTTCTCAAAAACGTCCACGACATTTACATAAGCCAGTGTAAACACGAAAAACATCTTTGATTTCTTTTATAAAATTATAATGATGCGAAAAAGATAAATTTAAAACAATCTAATTTTTCCTCTAACATGTATTCAAATAATTGATTTGAAAATTCTCTTTGACTGATTGATTGTTTTGATTGGTTGAGCTCAGATCTGTTTTGCCCAGGCTAATGCGAGCACGGCTATAGACCAATTTTATAAATTTATTTCATGATATTATAATATATTTACCGAGGTTATCATCTGCTCGTAGACCTCTTTCACTAAATTCTTTTTCATGCCGTAGTCTTCCTCCATTGCTTTTATCTTTAAACACAAAACAAGTTGTACGTTGAAAAAACAGCGGTGAATTTAAATAGTAAGTAAGCAATCCTATTGACTTAGAGGAAATTGAACCCACAGTTGAATGTGATATATAGAAAATGAGCGAGTTGTAACTTTCCCACCTTCGCTAACACTTCTTGTAATTCTTCATCTGTCGAAGATTGTTCTTGAAGCTGTTTTCCTTTTTTCTGCAACATCTCAACATCCCTACGACGATCAAAACATGTCCAAAACATGTCCAAAACACATGTCCATCCGATACATGTCAAAAACACGTCCAATACATGTCAAAAACATGTCCAATACATGTCCAATACATGTCAATAAACATGTCCAATACATGTCAAAAACATGTCAAAAACACGTGGAACGAACGAAACTAAAAATTCCGTTCGTAAATTATTTACAAAAAAAATTCTTATTCTCGTGACAAAAAAGTTTTTCCATGCCATGTTTTGTTGTTGAGATAGACACAAGACAAAAAGAAAGTGCCTTCCCGACAAAAATTGTTATAAATTCTTAATAAAATGAATTCCAGATAAATCAGCAGAGCACTAATCAGACTTTAAGTAATTTACCAACGGCCATGTGACCAATAAGATCACTCGTGCTTTGCGAAAGGGGGGGACTTTCTTTCTTGTATGACAATCAAATAATTTATCTTTTGTTTTAAAAAGTGTCGGTGAGATATAAATTTCACCAGAAAAGGAACTCAATTAAATACCGTAAAAACGCACGAAAAGAAAATCTTTTGAAGAAACTACATAAAACGTTTTAAATGTTCTTTTGATATTGAAAACATTACGTGTGCAAACAGTAAAAATTGACGTCGAAAGGCAACAAATACGACCACGAATTCGTACTTTTTGTTCACTTCAAGCTCGTCCCTTTTCGCAGCCAGTTTCTTTTCATAAACTCGCTCCATGCGATCTTTTTTTTCTATCATCATCGTCAACTGACGTTTGGCGTTCTGAAAATGGAAGAAGGCGGAGAAAACGATTTTAGATTACTTCATATACACGAGACAAACATCTACAATTAAATTTACGATGTATTGACCTTTTGTTCAAAATTAATATGTTCAAGTTGTTCATTGTTGATGGCTGCCTCATCCAGTATTTCTTGGTATTTTTCTGTCGATTTCTAAATTGACAGTTTGTATATTAAATAAACTGATCATAACACATTGAAGCACTGAGCCTATGTATATTTACTGCACCCTAGCTACAACTACTGTGCCCTAGCTAAATCTCCCGGCCCAAGCTATATTTACTAGGCCCTCGCTAAGTCTGTTGGGCCATGTGCTGGGCCATATCTATGTCTACCGGACTCTAGCTACATCTACTGGATCCTATCTATATCTACTGGATCCTATCTTTAACAACTGGATCCTATCTATATCTACTAGATTCTAGCTATATCTACTGGATCCTAACTATATCTACTGGATCCTATTTATATCTACTGGACCCTATCCACATCTATTGGATCCTATCCACATCTCCTGGATCCTATCTATATCTACTGGATCCTATCTACATCTACCAGAACATATCTATTGTACTGGATCCTATCTATATCTACTGGATCCTATCTACATCTACTGGATCCTATCTTATATCTACTGGACCCTATCCACATCTAATGGATTCTAACTATATCTACCAGGTCATATTTATATCTACTGGAGATTATCTATATCTAACTAGACGCTAGCCTGTATGAATATTGCAAAAATAAGTTTTGAAGACACGAAACTTACTGCAATTTTGCAATTTCTTGCACTGATGAGATGATCTGTGCAAGAATTCTAAAAAAAATCGCCGAGAAACTTCACACAATGATGTAGGACGAGAAAGAAAGGTGTTAAGAAAGCAGCCAACTATACATTTGACGTCAAATCATCCCGTTTGGAAATATTTCAAGAGAGATGACAAGAAACAAGTTTGCAGTGTGCAGTCTGTGCCAGAAAACAATGGGAAAACACAGACAAAACAAGCCTTAGGTTTATGGCATCTAGTCATCATATTCATAATTGAGCTTGTACAAACAAATTTTTTCTTTTGAAAAAAGCGAGCCTAGGTTTTCTTCCGGAACAACCGAAAACAACGGTTTCTAGACAAAAGCAATAACGGAGAACTAGGCGAATCAAAGTGATGGCTCTTTAAAGGAATTATTCTGGTGATTTCATATCCAGTGGCCAAGCGAGTTGGATAATTGAGGGGGGGGGTTATTTCATTTATTCATCTTCTGTTGCATTAAGATCCTTTGAAATCCATTGCTTTCTGCAAACTATAACACGCATATGAATTTTGTCTCCCCCCTGCATTATTAAAGTAAATGGTTTGAACCCGGGAGTATCGTTTCATGTTTGTAAATGTAGATCGTCCAGGTTAGTATAGTCCTGAGAAGAACTGTTTTTGTTGTTGTTGACTGACGTTTCGACAACCTTAGCGGTAGTCATCTTCAGAGTCAAAAAATGACTCTATACACATACTACTCTGGACGATCGACATTTACAACCATGCATTGTTGATGCTAAATGCAGCTGTTAATAACACGCAAAAAATGGCAGTTATGGATGGTGCGACAATACGAAGCGGACTGAATACACAAAATGAAGAAGGTTATCAAAAATCCTACATCTTCAACAACGTTGAGAGATTCTTCCAAATTTTTTTTCTCGTGAAGTATTCGACTTTTCTCTTCGATGACCAATTTGCAAGTCTCGATGGCGGTGCTCATCCGATCGAGTTCCTGAAACGGAACAGAACCGAAGGACGTTTTTTAAAAAAGGATGAAATCATCATGAAAAAAAACCAAAAATTTTCTTACTCCAAGAAACTTTTCGGGAGATGTTACGATTTTCGCCTTTAACTTCTCCGATTCTTCAACGTTGTTTGCGATCAGCACCTTCAACTCGGCCTGAGAACACGATAGTGAATGATTATAAAAGGCGGAAGACTGGGAACGAGGTTCAAACATTCCCAAACCTGACTCGATGTCTGCTCGGCAATTTCCGTTTTCAATTGCTGTGTGTATTTCACGTCTGATGCCTAAACAAGATGAAACAGAACAAATGAAAACGATTAACCCCAGAAGCAGGGTATAGTGAATATACATTAGAGCCACTCCATTAAAATTTTTTGTGCCAGGCATATCTCTTTACGCACGTAATTACCATAGTGGCAACCGTTCAATTTTTGACCAATGGGAACGATGAAATGGCTAACGACAGCCAGTAATCTAATTAAATATACAGCAGTCAGTTGCACGGCGAAGTGGACCTACTGTATATCCCCTATACTTAGCGAAAAGCCAACTGTTGTGGGATTACGTAGTGCGCATGCGCACCTGTTTTATGTTCAAGTCATTCACTTCTTTCTTGAGATCTTCTACAATCGGCTGAACCTGTACATATCAAGCAAAAACATGAAACTATGTCGCATGAAATTTTTGAAGTTCAATTTAATGATGCAGTCTTAAAAACCGGTATCTAAATCATTCATGACGAGGGTCTCTTTGTGCGTTTTTCATTTGTTTGAAATTCGAAAAAGTTGGTGATTACTAATTTATTAATAATGAATGGTTGTCTGAAAGAACTAATATAAAAGATCGATAGAATTCTTAATGAAAGAAGGACAATTAGAGCATATCGCTCGGTTGAATATTACGCAACTCGTTATAAATTTTTTCATGCTAAATCAGGCAAGTAGAATGCTTAGTTGGAAACTTTTATAGTTATGGACCAATAAAATTCTGTTTATATTTACGTTTTTCGTTTATAGATACATTTACGTTTTTCGTTTATAGATATGTTTACGTTTTTGGTTTATAGATATGTTTACGTTTTTCGTTTATAGATATATTTACGTTTTTCGTTTATAGATATGTTTACGTTTTTCGTTTATAGATATATTTACGTTTTTCGTTTATAGATATGTTTACGTTTTTCGTTTATAGATATGTTTACGTTTTTCGTTTATAGATATATTTACGTTTTTCGTTTATAGATATATTTACGTTTTTCGTTTATAGATATATTTACGTTTTTGGTTTACAGATATATTTACGTTTTTTGTTTATAGATATATTTACGTTTTTCAATTATAGATATATTTACGTTTTTAAAATTTACTGTTAATAAATACGATTTGCGTGTGTTTATAAATGATTGTATTTACATCAAAAACTTTATATTGACTTTGTTTCTTTTAAAATTTGTTTGGTGCGAACCTGCTGTATCTTTTCTTCGTCAACGCTGCGAGCCGCTCTATGGAATGACAATGAATAGAACAAAAAGATACATTGGGTTTTATTGGTAAGTTTAGCATATCTGGAAGCAATTATGTCATAAATTGGACGATGCTCTACTTGATTTTTGCAATTTTTCCTTAAGTTCCTTGTTTCTTTCCTGAAGAAGCCTTTTTTGTTCCGCTACCGATTCCTGTAGCGAAAAAGACATGAAATATATCTCACAAAAAACGAGAAAAAAATGTTTTTTGTGGGTTAAATCCATTAAGACCGCCCAGCTTAAATTGCAGCCTTCTAAAAAGATTGTTGAAGCAATTAAATCAAGTGAATCCTGACTTTGTGCAACAAGCCCTAGGATAATATACAGCAAAGACCAGCCACAGGACCATAAGCAACCAAGAGATAAGACAGTAACGAGTCCAAGATAAACCCGATTTTCAAATCAAGCCATTCAATTTTGTTGTACTGTTATTGTACCTTCTTTTCGGTCACTCGATCGAAATGTTGATTCTGAGTTCCTTTGAACTTCTCGTAGTTTACTACAGCACTAAATAAAAAAGCATCTAAGAGTACATAGGCACATTCAGCAAATTGAGCACATACAGCCTGAGTTTGACATTTAGGAAACAAGAGATGTTTACAGTGTTTGCACAGGCTTATGCACACAAAGTCAGGAGCAGATGAGCGCAAGCCCTAAAGCCTGTTTTCCACTAGCCACGTATCGTAACGCATCGTAGCAAAACGTTACATGGCGCATGCGCGCTTGTGCCTATTGACCATCAAATTCACAAGCACGCATGCGACATGTTATGTTTTGGTACGATACGTGGCTAGTGGAAAACAGGCTTTAGACAGAAGGCTGTTTTCCACTAGCCACGAATCGTAACGTATCGTAACAAAACGTAACATGGCGCATGCGCGCTTGTGCCTATTGACCATCGAATTCATAAGCACGCATACGCCATGTTACGTTTTGCTACGAGATGGCTAGTTGAGAACAGGCTTAACAATCTCACAACTGCCTACATGGTTCATATAAATCATTGCAAACATGAATGATTCCATGCATTTTATTGATTTACTTTTACAAATAGGAATGATGTTATAATGTCATACCTTATGATGTTCAAAGTACGTTTTGGTTCTGTATAAACAGAGAAATTTGATGAGGTAATGCTTGCTGATAACAAGACAGTCAAGCATTTTACATATTTCAATAGTTGTTCATGATCTCACTTACTTGGATCTGTAAGATCATTTTTCAAAAATCTTTCACCAAACATGAATGGAGGAATCTTTGTCTGAAATTAAACAAAAAGTTTTCTTTAGAGCTAATGTTGAAAGTCGGGATAACTTTTGAAATCTTTAACTGACTTGAACTTGCTATCTGAAATAGCACATTCATTTTGCATGACATTTCGGTTATATTGCTATACTTACACAATCAATGTGTAATATATAAATGATGCTCCTTCCTCTAAAATATCTGGATAAGGAAGCATACTGACCAACTTGAAAGGTGGCTAAAGTTAATATAGATGACTGATGAATGACATATACACCTGGGCAAATACTGGCAGTTGTTACTCATAGGTAAAATTCACATTGAAGGCAACAGGAACGGATTATCCAATAGGCTGAGTAGGCTTAAGCCTAAAGGTCCCGGCTTTCAAATGGCCCGGTGTATCTGGACACAATTAGGATTTGAACATTTTTGCTTTAAGGGTTAGGCGGTTAGCAAAATGTGGCTTAATTTACGTTTAATTTATGCTTAATTTTCAAATGTTAAATGCTCAGAACTCATGAAGTATTAACTTTTGCTCTTTCCTTGACCATGTCTATCTTTTTTGAAATTTTTTTTAAACCTTAAAATATACTTTAAAATATACTTTTTCCATTTTTTACTCTATGGGGTCACTAACAGGAAATGCCAAGCAAAGGAAAACTGAACTTAGTAGGAGGAATTGGTGTTATACTGTTACTTAAAGGCCCTTACCTTCGTCTTAGCCTAAAGGCCCCGATTGGTAGTCCGCCTCTGGAAGGCAGTCATTTGCGACGTAGAATATAATTGTCTTGTTTTAGGTTAAACCAAACGAATACAAATAACTTTTTCTAAACATATATAAACTGTGTTTGTACCTGCATCATTTGTTCCCTTGATATGCCAAGAGATGTTGTAGCAAGGTCTAGCATAAGTTTCTTAACAAACTGTGACTACAAAAACAACGGTTATGCTTTAGGTGGCAAAGGCAGAACAAATTTAAAAACCTTCGGTCTTCCTTGCTTACAAAATTATAAAAATAATCCTAAAAAGTTAGCCTTAAGTAGCTGATCAAAATTTTAATACCTTTGACCGACAAGGAACTTACTGTGGGTCTTCTGAGCTCCTCTTCGCACACATTTAGGTCAAACATTTGACGTAAACTGGAAATTGCCTCTTCGTATGAAAGAATAGGATACGACATTTTGAATTGCGCGCTTTTTGGAAAGGGAATTCAAAGTCGCCGTCACGTGACGTATACGTCATAGTATTAAGAAAGTTTGTAGATTCAACTTAATAATATGTTTCATAGCACGTTGTTGTTGTTTTTCCATTAAACAAGAAGTTTATAAGTTATTACAACAGAAGAAAGATATCTAGAAAATTTTGCCAAACACACCGAACATTCATCAACAGAGATTCCATTCCATTGTTACCAGTCCACCAAATTAACAAACGGTTAAATACAACATGGCCGCAAATGTCGAAAATATTCCATCAAGCGCTATTGTAATCGAACGCCCATATACTATATTTGCCACCAGAAATAGTGGCAAACATATTTCAATTGTTACCAGCAAAAAGTTTAGTGGCTGCTGGGTTGGTCTGTAGTCGATGGAGTGAACTTGCGGAGAAAGAATTGACGCGGAGAACGGCGTTTGTTAGTCGGATGTTTAAAGACAGTCAGGAGTTAAGGGCCAAATGTATGTTAACGATGACTGTTGGGCCTCCACAAACTTTACACTTCCCTCAGTCCTTTACCAGTATTGATCGTTTTAGGAGGAAGTAATGATAGAATAGAAGTTATAGTTTTCTCTTAGGTTCTAGACCAACATTCGCTAATAGAATATATACCCTAAGGCCAAGGGTAGTAGAGATGTCTGTTTACAGGAAACTGAAATATTAGTGTGGCTGGTTTCGCCAATGTAGCGAAATTACATCACACAAGAGGAATTTGTAAACCCCATTGGATTTTAAGAGGAAAGGGGATGGGGTCTTCGAAACTGGAAAAGTTTTGATTTTAAAGAAGAGAATACTAGTTTATGGCTAAGTTTGTGCAGTAACATCTGCCAAGTTATATAGTTTTCGTTTGTGATTTGTGAGTAGTGGCCATTGTAAGGTAACTTGAAGTAATGGGTTTTAGTTTTAAGTTTTGACCCAGAATTATCACCAGTACATGTTTGTAGATTATGATCATTCACAGTTGTGTCTTTAGGTTTATTTACTCCTACCATCAGAATTTGTTCAGTAATCATCAACACAAAAACAACATATTAAAAAATAAACAAAGATAATGCACAAAATTTACACTGGCAGGTCTAAAACATACGAGATAGCAATGCTGCAAGTGTACAAGTTATTGTTGACATTGCTTAAATCCGTTTTCTTTAAAGTTAGCATACCACACTTTCTAAGATAAGTCTGTGTCTCAGTGTTGAGGTGATGTTTGTAATACATCAGCCCTGTCCATGATTTGCTTCTTGACGTAACGTTATAAATGATTTATGTGTGACACGTATGTTGTATGGTCGTAAGCTACGTGGGAATTACCGCAGACGTACCTTTGTTATAACTTACAGGAGTATCGTTTGTTGTTTTCGTGAGATTCTTTGTTTTGGTTTTGTGTTCAGTGCTTCGTTGTGTAGAGGATTCGATGAATTGCATGTGAGTTGAGCAGTGAGCACGTTTTCTATCGTTCTTATCGTGCTGGCTGTGTGATGTAGGGTTGTAAGATGATTGCTGTAATGCACTACGGTTTGTTGTTAGTAATTGTCATGTTTACCAAAAACTCAAGAAAAGCGACTTTCGTAAAAGTCACAACACAAAAATCACAACTGCATACTAGTCTCCTTAGACGTGGCGTCACTATTCACCAAGGATTATACTTGAACTGGCACTGGATTACACAAACCTAATCGATCTAACAATCCTTGAGGATAAACTTCTATTAGCATGTGGAAACACTAATAAACCTACAGACAGGCTGCAACTTTCGTTGGACTCATTTTGTGTTTGCATAAAATGTGATTGGGTTTCGTTAAATTTGTCACCTCTGTTTGTTTTGAATTTAGTGAATGGTAAGTGTAGGGGGTGTTGTTGCCTTATTGTTGTCGTATTTTCCCAGGAACATAAAACCATGGAAAACGTGTACAAGTTTCTCAACGAAGCAAGGTCACGTTCCTGCTGCTACTGTTATTGTGCTAGAAGTTTTCCCAAACTATCAAAAGAAACAAAATCGTAGAAATTCAAAGAAATTTTGCGTCAAAGTTGGCTTTAGCATTGCCGAAGGAATGTACGATGTGTTGGTT